TTTAATAATTTATTTGTGAATTTTTGTAATTCCCTTTTCCCAGGAAATAAGTAGTGATATACAAGTGGTAATGCTCTAATTTCCTTGATATTTGAAAAGAAAAACAAGGAAACAAAGCCAGCTTTTTAGTTGGCACTGTTGATGATCTGATATTAAAAAGTGAGGGACTGAATGCAGTCCTTCAAAGACACATTCAGATGTGACCTTCATAATTAAAATCACCAACCAGGTAGACTGTTACACTTTTGTATAACGTGAATACTCATCTGAATCTGTTTAATAAAATATTTGCTTAAATACATGCATATTAGAAATAACAATTCATATGCCAGCATTTCAATATTAGAGTCTTTTGGAATCAAAATTATTTACATTACACTGAGATGCATACGACCCATCTATGACAAATAGACTAAGAATAAATAAAGTGAACATTTATTTTAAAACAATTGCAAGATGTTTTACATTTCTGCTCAGCATCGAGCAGTGTGTTGAAAATGCATTTTTCATAAAACCACATGCAAGGCTTTTTGATGGTGAAAAAATCCACTCGCAACAGCCACATGTCTAGGCAAATGCTTAGAAGCTGGTATGGACCCCACACAGACATTCCAGAAGAAAAGACGTTACTAGAAAGTAGTTTCTCTTGAAGTGAAGTAGAATATGTGTGAGCCTACTAGGCCACTTTGATAAATAAATAAAAGTCTCTTTTCTTTTCTAGCACAAAACTGGTTCAACTGGAGGGCAAGTTAAACCCAGATTCACATTTTACTTAGTTTTTTCTTTCCTTTTTATTTCTTAAGTGATCCCTTGGCTTATACAAAGATGCGATTATTTTTTTTAAGAAAAAGAACCATTTGGCTTTGGGTGATCTGAATTTTACCTTCCTGGCTTTTCAGCATATCTCTGTGAAACTCCTTTCCAAGAACAAAGCCCAGTGTCCCAGGGTTATCGATGTACAAATCTATACTCCTTAAACTATGGGTTTCTTTCAAAATTGGTGTCATTAAATCAGTACAAAAGATCCTCTGAACACTCTTAAATTAGTGTAAAGTTGACTTATTTAGAGTCGTATGATCAGACATAAGTTTTATCTAAAGCACTGTTGAGCCTGTAACTATATTTAACTATACTCAAACTGTATTTTACTATCATCTCCAGCATCTCTCTAAAGTCCTTCAGTTGATTCTTAGAAAGACACCGTCTGCTGCCCGTAGTACTTAGACTAAATTTAGTCTTCTATATCAAGCCTAAATTAGGCCTCAAGTACCCCATGAACTTTTATAATCCTGCTGTCTTCTTGCCGTGCCACGGGGTCTAAGTCTGTCTCCCTCCTTTTTGGCACTTCTGGCACTCTGACCCCACACTGAAGCGCAGCTAGGTTGGCTTTTGCTGCCTTGTAGTGACAACTTCTAATGTCAAGACTAGGCAATGGCTAAACCGGGATTTATATAATGATAACTACATATTTATGGGCTGATTTTTAAGTCAACTGATGCAGCCTGTGTGGACAATTCTCACTTGCTATATTACATTCTGAAGGAAGCTTGCCTCTATATTTCCTGTTTATTCGTCTTTTACTGGATAATGGAATTAACCAAACCTTAGTTACTTGGATTTCTTTTCAGCTTTAAAAAGAAACTCCATGTAAAAGTAAAATTCTAAAAGTAATAGTTTCACTGGAATAGGTAAAACTACAGTTTTGTATAACTTTTGGCCACGTACCTTCACACCTAAGCTTTTCAGGGTAAGAACTAAAGACAGGGGAGGAAAAATACAAGTTAAGCACATTTTTAGGGATTTATACAATTTTTCTGAGCAAGAGCAAAATCCATGGGAGTCCATAGTTTGTTACCTTCTAAGCTTGATTTTCGTTTTAAGCTTAAACTTTCTCCAGTGTGTCTTTCATATGAAATGGGATAACGTGGCCTATATCGCATACCGTATCTGTGTGGTTTTAGAACTATTTGGTACATTCAAAGTTTTTTACTCCTCCTCAGAGCTACTAAATGAGTCCCCTTTCTATAGCAATACTAAGTAAGCATTCTGTCATTTTAGTTTATTGTCCTGTGTAACCCAGGGATAGTCACTAACTTGTTAAATGTTACGATCGATGCAGAAATAAATTTGTAGTTTTACTTCGTAATTCATGGCATTGAGTTTCGTTCTTCATGGTGTCATAGCTGCACTTTGGACAGAGTCGAATTAAAAAAGGATAATTCTTACTTCTAGGTTACACTTCCCTACCTCATCCCCTTACACAAAAAGGTTAAGTGTCTTTTCAAATTAAGGCAGCAGTAATTAACCAGTGGCATTGTTTGTGATTTGCCAACTCTGGGCGTTAATGAGAGAGAAATTAGCACTTAGCAGCAGGAGTTCCTGATAGTCAGTGGCAAATGCTTAATGTGCCAACAAGTTAATTTTGGTCTTAAGTACTGCACTTAAGTGTTTTTAAACAAAAGTATGGTATGTTTTTTTTATGTGATCACACATATGGGCTGTGTAATATAGAGCTATAATGGAAGGAATCACACGATACAGTGGAAAAAAGTGCCACCTAGGCACACAGGGCAAATAGTTTTGCTGTAATAACACAGTCAAAAGCAGGATTGATGGACGTTTTTATGCTAAAGATGCACTTGCTCCTGCAATTAACAGTATGCAGATGTTCTTGTATATAAATTTATCATCAAATTTGGCATTTCTGAACATAATGTTTAAGCACAAAATATTCGTGAAGAATTGTGCTTGAGCTGTGATGATTTGCTAGAAAGACATAAATTAGCCTTTTGAGGGGTCTCGAAATATTAATTTTATTAAAAATTACAATTTCAAAAAATAACATCGCAAATTACTTAAGCACAGTGCCCCATGCATTTTATGGTGGGTAGGGGATTCAGACTGCCACACGGAGCAAAATGAGCCCTTCAGAACTTGGGCTGAGCAGCTGCTCATTAGCACCAAGATTTTACCTGGCGCACACGCTCGTAATGAGTAAGTACTTGTGCGCATTTCATAGCTTCTGCCTTGCATAAAATAGCCCATTAGAAACGTAAGGGCTGCTCCCTGTCTTCTGGGGATTTTTGCTGGTAAAATAACTTTGGTTAGTACATAAGTACATCCCCACCCGCTTATCCCTTTTCTGTGGTTGCTCGGTGTGGGAACAGATACGTAGTCTGTGAAATAACAGAAGCAGGCGCATCCCGCATGGCAAGTTACCGGCGGCAGAGAGCATCAGTCCTTGGCTGCGCTTGCCATTTGCTCCTCGCTGCTGCCAGGCTAGCTGGCTTCCTCCTTACAGTCAGGGCGTGCACGTCTTGGCCCCACAGGAACTTCAGCAAAGGCAACCAGAGAGAAGTCCTCAGAGACGGTAGAGGCTGAAGTTGTTGGCCAGCCAGAGAAAACTTAGCGATTGGGTGCAGGCAGCATCGTCCTTCCGTATGAGCCCCTTTTTAGTCTGTGCTTTATTCAATGCTAAACATACGTTAGCTAGCGTAGCTGGATTTGTCAGAGTATTAACCTTGCCGCTTTCAAAAATCATCTCTCAGTTGCAAAAAGCACATTTGCCAGTGTTGCCTCAGCTACGCTGAGGGGTAGTTTACTTTGCCACTAAACTGCGGCCACTTCTGGGCTGAAGAGTAGTCGCCATAAACCGAAATGTTACAACACTACGCAGCAGTTTCGGGCAAAAAACTACCGTATCTAATTGAAACTGCAGGAGGAAGCCACAGGGGTTTCTTCTTCCTTTGATGCCTGTTCCATTACATGAGCACATCAAATAGAGTTTTCCCTCCATTGTTGGAAAGAAACCACCCTAGTGAAGCCGGTCTGGCACTACCCGCCGTTCGGAGTGCTTGTATTGTCTGCTAAGTGGACATTTAGGTTACCGTGCATCCCCCCAACACATTTTTATTATAATTAAACATTAACAAAAATTGGCTACCATATTGGTTGAGTCCTGAGCACAGCTCTGCGTATAAACCATTACATGACATTCTATTGAACTTTTTCTTGTACAGACGGTATCTAACAGCTCATCCTGCACTGTTGTTTTTGGCAAGTTCACTACAGCATATAATAAATCAAGGAAAGAAAAAGCTTTTTGGCCTAATGTTGTGCAGACTGCTGTAATGTTAGACTACAGAAAGCAGTTCTGTTTTTAGACATCCTTTTACTAACCCAACATTCATAATTTATGATTTCACTGTAAAATTCCTGCAACACTACACCAAAAGTAGTGCTGCCCTTTAATTAAGTGCTCTCAGTAGGAAAAACGTGAAACTGATGTGCAAAACATATCGCAGTATACAGTGATTGATAGTGATTACTTCTTTATGAACCCAGCCTGAAGGTCTGAACTTCCTGATGGGTAAAATAGTCCATGGGGCTACTTCCTGAGATTGCCTAGTGGGGATCAGTCAGACTTAGCAATATCTGAGGAATTCCTGAGGCACGTTTCAAAGACGTTACAGCAGAAACTTTCTATTTCTTTCTGCACTGTGCTTTACGTTAATAATTACTTGAATAATAGCTCACTGTAGAGATCACATTTTAAGGATTCGTTGTTATCTTCATGATATTATAATGTGCGTCAGTTGGGACTTGCATAAACCCCTGTATTTTTAACACCTGCGTGCCCAAATCTGAAGAAGCGGAGCGCATGGGAAAAGAGACTTCTGTATGCATGAAAATTACTAAACATTATTTAAGGCATAGGTCTTTTTTTACTGGTATGTGTGGAGCTTTCAAAGGAAAAAACCAAAACTCTGATGTGGATTGTTTGAGTCTCCAAATAGCATTTTTATTCACGGATTAAGGTATTAACAACATCTATCAATTCAACATTGATTAAAATTTGAAAATTAAATGGAGGTCAAATACTCTCTCCAATTTTGCAGTGAAATTAACAGATTTACTTGTGTTGGAATCGCAGAGGTGGGTAATTAAAGTTCACCTAGTACAATCACGTACGTTTTTTTTTTTTCCTTTTTGCTTGATAGATTTGGCCCTGGATTAGTCATCTACTGGTATGGATTTATTGAAGAGCTGGACTGCCATCGTGAACGTGGTATCCTGCTAAAAGACTGCTTTCCTACTGACATTGTGACTCTGCGACACAGCATGGCTCAGCGCTGATGTCGGGAGGAGGAGGAGGTAAATCCGGAAGCAATTTTACTTTCCTGCAGCGTAAACTAATGGCAGCATCTGCCCTGAACTTCAGCTGAACTCCTGCTGCCCGCCCTTATGCTACTGCCTCTTTACACAAACATATCAAGAGTTTCTGTTTTGCTTCAGACCTCTGTTGTGATCAGCCAAAAAAGACAGACACAACCCACTCATTATCAGCATTTCTGTTTCTGTCAAACAGCTAGTTTCTAGATATTCATAATCTTTCTTCCTTCCGGCTGGCTTCCTCAAGCATTCTAAACAAAGACAAAAATGCAGAGGCTGAAAGGTGCAACTTTCAGTTCTTATCCCTGTTACAGAGTCACCTTTAAAAACAAGTAGCTTTTTTTTATGGTTTCACTCACAAGTTTATTCAATGCTAGTGATCTGACTGAAACACCTACACTGATGTGGAAAATTGGTAAAGAAAGACGGTTATTCTGGGGCTTAAAACAATATAATGCGTAGCTAATAAAGCCCAAGCGGTAAGACAGGATCATATAATTTCTGGCTGTTACAGTAAATAGCCAGATTTTGAGAGAATAATTGGGATGTGTGTTTTGTCACTGTCTGATGGCTAAAATCAACAACGGAATCCCAAGTTAACAATTAAAAAATAATCTAAGTTAGGGGCTTTTTAGGGGGGGTGAAAGTGAAGAGCAAGGATTTATTTTATGTATATGAGGCTGTGAAGTTTGGGGTTAGTTTTCTGGGTTTTTTTAGTAAGTAGTTTAGTGACTCAAAAATAACGTGTTTTGTCTTTTCCTCCCCACCCCCCCGGGGAATCTATAACTAGGAATTTTTCCCTTAACTGGCTTTAAGGAAGGAATCTATCTTGACCCCTGTAGGTACTGTAACATGCAATTTTCTGGCGTACTGAAGTCTGAAAGAACAACGTGCGGAGCTCTCTGTGTGGGTTACTTCTGAAGAACATTACCGTCCTGGTGTTCAAGAAGGGGAGTAAAGAAAGATAAACCAGTGCTTCATACTGGATCAGTTCCACAAGACAAATAAAGCACACAATTGGGCAGAAGTTTCCTGCGTACTTCTGTATTCTTGTAAGAGCATTGTTTTTCTCTTGCTGGAACCGCCGAGATCAAAGGTGCATTGAGGTGGGTTTCAGCCCTCCTTGAAGTTTTGAGGAGTTCAATCTCATTCTATTTCCATCCTCATCACCACTCAGAGGGGCAGTATTGGGCCTCAGGTTTGTGCTCTCAGTTGGAGGTTTCTTAATGATAGCAGCTTATTGGGGGTGACACTCTTTAATACTCTCTTCTTTGCTAACTGGCATTCAGGAAAAGACAAAATATTCTAAGAAGTCAATGAGAGTTTTGCAGGTATGCTCACCGTGTTCAGATTTTCAGAGAAGTTAAGCAGTGGTACGGATTCTGTTGTAGAATTAAAGGTGTGATAACAGTTTCCCTATCAGCACAAGCTGATAACCTCTTCCATAAGGAAAGGGTCTTTAAAACATTACAGTCCATATTCATCATCTTTTTCAGTTGAGGTGATACTTCGTGCGCCTGTATGATTTCAGAAATCACATGCAGACTTTTTACAGTCTTGCCTTGAGTTAAAAGAAAGAGTATTAATCCTTCTTCAGTTTTTTTCAGGTATAGTTTTCAGATGCATACGCAGTATTTTTTTTTTTTTTTATTTCTCACTTTAACACTTTTCAGTAAGTTTCAGACAGGAGTTTATCATTTTGACTAATCTTTAGTTTTCAGGAAAAAATATCTTTAGTCTTCCTAGTACTCTGTCCCTAGCTGCAGAGATAAGCTAGTATAGCTCCACTACAGTGAGTTATTGTTGCACAGAGATTATTTTCTTGGGTTTGAATGTCTTATAGTGGAAAGATTTCTTTTATAAAAAATATTCAAACACCTCTAACTCATTTATGTTCAACTATTTAAGGTATTGTGCTTAGCTTATTTTACCTGACCAGCTTTGAGGCTCTGCCCATAAAGATACACAGAAGCAATCTGTGAAGTGTACCTGCCTGATGCTACACAGAAGCTGCATTTAGGGTGTTGCTGCCCCTGGGACTTTCAACTGTGGTTTAGGTTAGTGGAACATGTAAAATAAAGAACAGAATAAAAAAGAAATAACTGAACGTTATTGTAGTAGAAAATTCAGAAGTAATGGTTGTCTGAGTGAAATGGGTTTTAAGGGCAAACTGAATTTGTTTTAGCTATTGCATATGCTTTCTGTTGTATGAAATCATTTAAATCAGCTTTTACATGATGCACTAATGCTGCTTTTTCTTTTTGAATAAATTAAATTTATCTGCACAGATGTTGAAAATTCTGCTCAACCTCCATCAAAGCTTTGCTTTATTTGTTTTTACATTAAACAAATTTATGTGGGGACACACAGATAAATCAGGTTAGGCTTGTATTTGTTTATTTATTCCTCTACCTAATGCTGTGACATAACAGGTTGGAAAGCAGTACAGCTGTCTTTAATCAAAGCTTTAACCTCATCTTTAGATATTGCCCCCTTTAAGAATCTTTGTATTAGAATGTGGATGAAATAAGCCACAAAAGTATACATACTGTACTAATTTCATTACATGCTACGGAACAAGCTTTGCAACCACAAAAAATTACACTGCGTCACTATTTTAAATGCTGAAAGCAGAACGTTAAAAAAATTAAGACTACTTTGTTATTCCTTCTTGTATCTTGAAAAAAAAACTCATTTGTGTATTTTCTCTCTCAGATATAAATACCAACTTTAATACTGAAGAGGAGAGACTACTGTTTGTTTGTGGGTTGTTTGTTGGTTTTGTTTTCTTAAACAATGCTGTAGTCATTAGAACCTTAACATTAAAGCCAAATCCAGTTTTATGGAGTATTCTGTAGAGTGCGCTAATGAATTATGCCAAGCTAGAAAACAGAAGTGTGCATAAAACTGAATGATGTTCTCACTGGCATATATAGACTTGCCAAGCATCTGCTCTTACAAGCACTGTAATAAGGCCTGCTCTGAGCTTTAGGAATTGATGTAATTGTGTTGAACAGGGAGGTAAAACTTCCTTGTATAGGAGGAACAGCACAATGGTGGGTCACACTCTAGTATAAAAAGAAAACATTTTTTACCATTCCTATATTCTGGGGACACATTATTAGTAT